TTATAAATTTCAATTGAAGAAGCTACATTCGGATTTCTATTCACCATATCTTCATAAACCATAAACACGATAAAACAATATAATAATCGATTGCAAAAACTCACAATATGTGTATACTGTTGTTGCAATGTAGAGACTTTTTCTACATATTATATTCTCAGTATTTCTTAAATTAATTTCTCTTCCATGAAAAAAATCAAAATAAAAAAAATATTTGCTTGATATCAATCATTAATCATTAATATTAATGGTTAATGAAAAAGATTAATTAATGTCATTAATTAAGTCTCGTTAAATTAAATGGTCCACCCCTATTTCGAAATGGTTATTGTATTGATAATCGGTTGCAATATTATAGGCTGTTTATTGTAAGTCGTCGGCGAGACTTTTTTCATGACTATTGTGATGTTTTCAGTTTCGCGTAGATTATGATTGATTTTATTGGTTCGCTATTTGGATGAATGATTAACATAATTTCTTAGTTATTTGGAACCGTCAATTTTGAGAATGGTCTGCATTCGTATATGGAGAAAGGTGGAGAAGATCAATGTAGAATAGGGTGTGAGCGTCGTTATGAATTTTTGGGTGCATTTACATCCACAACAGAATCGGATTATCGACGAATGCGATGAGTCAGATATTCTTTTCACCCAAATCAAACCCATCCGAAAAACATGAAAACGCAACGTACCCGCAGAAACCCTCAAAACTGGTACATAAGATAAGCGAAAACAACCGGGCAAAGAATTGTGTACCTGTTGTGATAACTCGATCCTTCAAGATCCATGACAAAGATACGAAAGCCTTCTATCCGACACGAAAATAAACAACGATGATAAGAACAAACCCACATAAATACCTCTGGAAAACCGAAAGTATTCATCCAGACGCAACTGTAACACGCCCAACAAGATTCATTCCGCGAATACATTTCAACTAGCATGACACTAGATACTAACAACAGCAAGAGGCATGAACAATCCGATGACAGAAAAATGTCGACGCTACATAGAGTCAAGCCGATGGAATGTATCCTATACGCAAATTGGAAGCTACAAAATCCTAGTCAGCCAAACATTTAGCAAGATGAATGTTACACTTGACGAGAGAATGAGAAAGAAACGAAAAACCTACACAAGCCTAATCGTGACTTTCTTTTTCATAATACACATCCTTTTTATACTTTATTTGTGATTTCTCAAAAAATAGAAATCATTTTGAACGAGTATATCAGAGTGGAAACTATCAGGTGATGACTCCTAAGCGAGGTCGAAATCTGGATCATGGTATCCTTGACACGTCTCGTATCCAGTCCATCAAAAAACAAAATGAAATTTGATATTATGACAATTGGGTTTAATTGATTTCAGTAATTACAGAACACAAAGACAATATATAAGAAGTAAAACAAATACTTTTTTAAATCGCCGACAAAAAGATCTTTGCAAGGTCAATTTTTTCGTTTGTATTTCATTTGCTAAAACTATTGTTTGACTAATACTGATAAAAGAGCACCAACTATGTTAGTAACAATCCCAACAATTCCAACAATTGCAGCAGCACCCAAACGTAATTTCATCTCACTTTCTGCGTTCATTGTCGCACTGATACCAACTGCGACACCTATAATCCCTGCAAGAAGACATCCGAAGGTAAGACCTTTGTCAACCAAGAGTAATAATCGGGGTGTAGTATCGACTGTTACTGCACAAAATAGAACCCATATTATTCCAGAGGTACAAGAGAGGATACAAGCTAGAGTAAGAAAAGTTCTAGCAGCAAGAATTTTATTGCAGAAACCAGTTTCGAAGATTTCCGAAGGACATGATAAATCCTCGCATGTCTTCCCATCCGGCGTGGAAGGACAGTAACGCCAAAGACCATATGTAACTCCTTCATAGTCATCTCCTTTTTCACTCCTAAATGATATAAAACAAAAAACGTTAGTAGATTTATTATTCACTTGTTGCTTTTGACTTCTCCGATTATTTTTGCGTTGGTACTTTAAAACTAATAATTTGCACAAATTTTGAAGATGAAAGCTTGTACGTACCACACAGTAAGTGCATTGCTAACCATGAAAAGTAGAAAAGTTATTCCAACGAGAGTTCCACCAACAATGCTTAGTAGTTGAACACTGTGTGCCATTACTCCACACGATGAATATCTAAGATTTCTTTCTATTCTTTTCGATAGTGTAGAATTACTGTGAAATACCAGAGCAATTTATAGAGATCAGAGTATGAACCTACGTCTGGTGATAAGAAATAATCTCAAAGTTAAATATCAAGTGATAAAACACTTCTGTCGTATGTTTTATTGCTTCTGCATAATTTTCAAAGGGAATCAAATAAAATGTATAATATCATTGTAGTATAGTAATCATTTATATCGACATAAAACTTTCTGTCATAAAAACCAGATTGATAAATACAAGACTAGCAATATAGTAACAAAACAGATTATAAATTATTTGTGGTCGTGTTTTTTTCTATGTAATAATGCAGCGACACGTTTATCTAATACTAAAAAAGTACATACGATATGATTGTAAGTTCTACTCGACTCAATAGTTCTTAAAAAGTATTATTTTTCGAACATTTTTTAAAGATATCTTAATTGATTTCAGACAAAGAAAGAATTATTTTTAACTTTAATTCAATGCGGAGAATCAGTTTAATTGATATCTTCAAGTTTTACCTATGAAGTACAAAAACTGGCAGTATTTTAATAAATTTATCATCTAGTTAGAAGCAGATAAGACTTAAAATTGGTATTCATCGAACCCTTTCTGTATTAAACGGTGCCCATGACGAAATATACACAAGATTGTAATGTATAAACATCTGTTGATGTACATCAATTCCACTAGATGAATGGTCTAAATTTTTGAATTCTTCATCAAATAGACCTTAGTGCTGCTTAAAAGAATGTTAATAGAAAATATCATGGATTATTCATAATGGATAAGAATTCAAGGATAAAAAATATAGATCACTCAAGATAACACAAAGCGCAAAACAATCTTTTCTTCATACAATTTATCTTTTCGAAACTACGGTCTTCAAAGAATTAAAATGAAACATGATAGTATGCTTGAGGATGAAACGAAAAACAATATTACTTGAGTCGCTTACTTTCTCTGTGAATGTAGATAACTATGAAGAGGACAGTATAACATAAGTACTCAAGAATTTATTGTACCGAAGAAAGGCAATAATAAATAATCTATTCTGTGGATATTTTTGAAAATGCGAAATCAACTTCGATATTGTAGAGCTGTCCACATGAATGAGATTGTGTTTTTCTAACTAGGGGATTGACATTTGAATGCAGAACTTTGTTGAATATTGTAACTTGAAAAAAATAGCAAATATTTTTCTGTTTTGCAGTGTATGATGGAGTATTATTATGATCAACTTTAATGTCCGAATTACTTGAGAATAGTCGTTGCTTTTGTGAATTCCTACAAAAAGTAGTTTAAGATATTTTCAATATAAAATGAATAATTAGAAACCTGCATTCGTTTCAAACATGCCACATTTGTAGGAACATTTGACTCATAATTTGAAGAAAAGACATGAAACATCTTTCTAAGATCAACTTATTCCACGAAATTGTAGTTGAAATATATTTCTCGTTAATTATTCGTTTACTTCGAACAGTTGATGTTCACAAATACATGGCAAAATCGAGAAGTGAACATCTATGCCTATGTCATGTACGAATGTTCAGTGTCGATAGCAGTAACCACAGTGAGTCACTGGCAAATAGCCCACTGAATCACTGATATTCTTGTTCGCTGCAACATTGAAACACCAATTCTATCCAATTCACCTATATTATAACAGAGTGTGCTGATGAATACAGGCACCAGTATGTACTACCAACGTTGAGTAATTGGGCAGCAAAGTAAAACTATACATTCATAACTCCACGTGTTCGTTACAGCTTCGTAATCGATCATTGAGAGTAAGACAACTCGAAATAGATTACAGAAACCAATATCTTCCGACATATTGATTGCATGTGAAATAATGATAAATACGAGTTCAAATGTTTGCTGAATTTTAAAGTTAATTATGTAGTATTTTATCTATAAAAACCATTACTTTTCGTATGCTCTCAGCATTTCATGACAATATCTGAATTGTAGAGCATAATTGAAGTTTCTAATTCAATTTTTTTTACTCACAACTCAATCCTCTATTAAATGCACTTGCTTGGTTCTTGAAAAATCGATGACAGTCAATAAGATAGCAAAACAAAATTAAGATAAATTCTTAGAAAATGAATAAAATTATTCTAGACATAGCAGTTCAATTGTGCATAATGTAGCTTTCTTTTTTTTATTTGAATGAGTAAAATGAAATTGAAACCTTTATTCTTATGTTTATAAACAGTTTTGTTGATTAAAGAAAAAATACTTAAATGACTGTTAAACATCAACATTGATCAACAATAACAAGTTTGACTTATTTACTCTTCAGTGATGTTGTAAACGTTGTTTGTCGATTATATAACATGAACAATAGTGACTAATACAAACAAGCCCTATTCAATGCTAATGCAAGTGACATCGCAGATTTTTCACAACAGAAAAACTTTGAAAAAAGCTATGAAAATTTCTTCGAAAAAATGATAGTAAGATCGAATTTTCTTGTGATAAGCCTGTGAAACTCTGGTCATTTTGCGAAAAGTCACATATATTCTGAAAGAGGAAGTATCACTGCATCTTTCTATGACAAACATTCAGCTTCGACATTTTGTTCTGCTGACATATGGCAACAGTGTCTCAAACTTCTATTGTATTCTAGAAAAAAAATTCGAAAAAAAAATTTTTGATAAAATGTCTGTTATGTAAAGAGTAGCTCTTCGAAAAATATCTATAGCTGTTGACTTTTTTAGTTATAACTTATTGTATTCCATGGTTTGGTAGAAAATTGAATGGTTTACAACAATATATAGAGTTAAAACTATTGCACACTATCATCCAGAGAATTCATGAATGAGAAGTAAAAGCCTATTTTATTCGGTGCTAAAAACAGTTTTGGCTTGCTCAAGTATTTGTTCAGAGTTAAGCAACATTAGCCTAGAAGAAAATTCTGATCATATATCCAGAAGGAGCATAAGATTTTCACACTAACTGTCTATTTTTGATATCCTTTAATGACATTTAAGTATCCCAAAAAAGAGCAAACGTTAGTGGCAAGATCTTTTAACTTAGTTTTTGTATAAATGCCTTTCTTTGAGATCTATCTAAGGGTTTGCTCCTAGTTAATTAGCCTTAAGTTAGAAATTAATTCTAAACGTACGTTTCAAAAGAGCATGAAATTCTGATTCTCATTGACTACTTTTCATTCTCTCCAGTGATGTCTAAGTGTAGAGAATTGAACAAAAACTTTGTACTTAGATTTTCGCGCCATAGGTTATTTTTAACGATAATAAAACATTATTAATATTGTTTTTTTGATTCAGTTCAATCAAATCAAACATATCACTTTGTGGTTCACATGAAAAATCATCAAAATTTATCACTTCAAATGATTAGTTATTTATTTTTTACCACTGATGATTCTCGTTCACACTTACATGTTATTAGGTTGGATTATTTATTAATTTAATTAAAGATTGAGAAATATTTTATTTTGTGTTACATTGTGACAACACGTATTTCGAATTCAAAATTGTACAAATATTCTAAATATTAAATAGGATGTTTACCATGGATTAATTAATTCGTTTTCTAACTTTATTCAATGGAGTTTATTCAATCAAATGATCTTCTATGAAAGTATTTGGTATTTCGGTAAATATCTTTATCAAAGTGATTAAATTCTCTCTATTGATATTTTAGATGTAAATACAAGTAATTTTACAGCAACTAATCCATTATTATTTACTCTAAAAAATTATTTGAAAATTTGACATTGTTTATAGATTTGCAACGCGAACGAGCTCAAGTGCATAAAGGAATCTTGTCAACGAATCACCTTCGAATGATTCATGTGAAATAAGTCCTTTAAGTAATATAATAAACATTTTATTTAACGTTTCATATTCAAATTGATTTGATAATAATAATATTAAAATTATTCATTATCTTGCATGAAAAAACTTTTTCTTTCAATAAAAATTTATTTTTAGTTTGAAAAGAATTTTTCATTTAAGTTAATAATCATTGCTTTTCACAAATTTCGCATTTTCCAGTTCGTTAAACAACTGAAAAACTTAATCTTATTATTCATATTCGAAATATATCAAGTTGTATGATAGTTAACGTCGGAAAATCGGGTTTTTTTAAATATTTTTTCTAATAAGTAAATAAAAAATAGATGATATTTAGTTAATATGATAAGATCATATTAACTAATAAGAGTATTTAAACGAGAAATCGAATATATTATAGATATTTATCTATGAAAGTTAAACTCGATAAAATAATATTTTCTCATAAAATATCTCAAAATAATTCTTATTATATATTTATTCAAAGAGAAATAAATCTTTTATTTATATTCAATAATCAACATTTCTAATGAAAAATCTCCTCATACTCGAATATGATTAGAAAAAAAAAATAAATTTTTAAAAATCTTTTCTAATATAATTCAACTCGATTTATTCTTAAGAATTTATTAGATTTATTGATTTATCGACTATTAGATATGTTTACACAACATCTTCTAGAAATATTCAAACGAACGATAATTTACTTTTTTTATAATTAATCATTTTTGAAAAAAAAAGATCTTGACTACATTATAATAAAATGTTTCTATTAGAAAAGTAAATATCTATAGTTGTTTTTCTAAGAGGAATTTATTTAATTTCTATTCAATTATAGAATAGAATTATAACTGAATAAAAAAAAAACAAAACATTTTATGATAAATAAATCTCGTTGACTATAAATTATTATTTGACATGTTTAGAAATTGATTTATTGTTTATTCTCTTCGATTATATATAATGATAACGATTTATCTATTATAAAACAAATCTAATTATTCTAGTTGACTATATAACATTTATTTATATAGAATTGTATATATGATATTACAATAATAAGAAAGAATATAAAATCAATGAAGTACATCATAATGATGAAGGCATTGAAAATAAAGAATATCGATCACTTGTTGATATATATTTTTCAATAATTGAAACTAAATCAAAAACAGAAATATTTAATTTGTTCGAATGCATTAATAAATACGTCTCATTTTTTAGTCGTTATATGTTTTAATACCCTCAAAATTTAAAGTCAAAAAATGTCATTAAATTAATAAAACAATTTTTTTTTATATTTTATCATTCAAAATAACACTAATCTTTCTAAAACTCCTTGAGATTTATATTTATTATTAAGAATAATTTTTTTATAGAGTGAAATATTATTCAAAACATAAATAATACATTCATATTCTTCACTTTTTAAATATGATAATGATAATCATTATCAACATACTTTGGCTGATTGAATATTTAAGAAATATCGTGTATAAAAAGATTGTTTTCGTATTTTTTAATTCAAGAATTGCTAAACTTATATTTTGATTTTGAATATAATATAGAAGTAGAAAGAGTATTATTCCACAAAAAGTACTCAGTTATTTTCTTCAAACAATAAGAAATGATTATAATAGACTTTCATTTGATCACCTTCTATTCGATGCGAAAAAAAATTCATTGATATCTTATAAAAAATCATGCTTAAACAAAGAATTTCCCTTTATATTGTTCGTCGAATGATTATGAATGATTTTTTGAACATGAACATATATGGTGCCGTCATGGATGTCAAACAAGCTGACAAAAAAGAATGACAATGAAAATAAGCAATGTCATTGGTCAATTCTGACTTTTTCGTTAGTTCAATTTGAATTCGTCTAATTTTTTCAGCTTATTCAAGGTCATTCGTATATCTATCGTAATAAACATGTATGTAACAGAAGAGATTCAATAAAATAACGATGAGTAAAAGTACGTTGGAATCATTACCAAATGAACTTTTGCTTATTATATTTTCTTATTTATCTTCATTTGATCTTTGTCAAGCTTTTCTATGCTTAAACAATGCTCGTATTCAACATCTTCTTACTTCGATTCGTCATTCATTTAATGTTAATTTAATGCATTATGATCAACTACATCTATGGCTCAATAGTAATCAGAATCATAGAAATCGTTTTACTAATTTGATAAATACTGTTGTGTTTAATGGTTCATATGCTTCCCGAACGTTACTTGAATACTGGGAAAAGACTTTTAATGGAACTGATCAATTCAATGTACTCTTCCCATCGATAAAACGCCTTATTCTGTTACAGGCAGAATACTGTTCATATTATTGTATTCAACCAATATTGATACCTTTGGTTTTTGCTAATAATACATTACAATATTTACATCTCATCTTCAAAAAACCTGCATGGAAGTATTCAAGGATACTTTCCAGACTTATTGTTCATCGTATTTCAGTTCATACTATGATATTAGAAGTTGAACAAGGTATGTTATCAAACATATTTTCAAAATAAACAAATTGAATGATCAGCAGTGTTATTATATTTCTGGCCATCGTGTAGGATAGAGTTGTCGGATTGAGAGATTTCGAATAAATTCCCTCTTCCATTAGAAGACCCTCATTAATAAGTTAATAAATTAGTAAATTAGCATTTAAAACAGTCAGTTTCTATTCAAATAAGCATAGTCAGTGAGTTTTTCTCTCGAAAATATTACAGAAACATAGTTTGGATCATCATTGCGGGTCAAAACTCTGAAGAAAATCGCTGTCACAATCCCAAAAAATCAATAGGTTTTTCGAAGACCTTGTTAATTAAAACTAAGGACAATTAGCAAACATTTTAGAAGATCCGGGATCTTTCATTGTGGGAGGATATCTAGTCTTTGGATTTGAGTTGTGCCGATGTGCTTGAGATTGAAACAATATTTCTACATAGATATTTGCCAATTTGATTATCTGTAACACTTAGTTAAATAATTTGATATCTATCTTATGTAAGTTATCAATTATTCTATATTAATATACAAGTGTCTTATTTCTAGAAAGGAATCATGTTAAAAGTTTAGCAATATGAATGTAAAATTTTGTTATTCTGTAAAACTTCACTGGCTGTTGGAGGGATGTTACCGGTAATGAGTTTTTGAATAATAAACATTTTCTTAGTTTATGCTTGCATAAAATATGTGTATTGAAAGATATATTTAATTTGATAGAAGAAACTGCCATGACCGTCATTCAATGTTCATGATAGTGATGTTAGCAATCAATTCGAGGAAGAGTTCACGAATAAAATCACATATTCATCTAACAAAAAAAATCAAACTCCTGATCAATTTATATAATTTCAATGCGATTATTAAGGAAAGAAAGATCATAAGATTGAAAATAGGAGAATAAGAGAGTGAATAAATAAAAGAAAAAATATATTAGATATCTAAAGATATTTAATTCTTTGAACTTTTCTTCAGTGATCGGTTATATAAGAAATATTATAAAGATGTTCTTTATGAGAAAAGATAAGACCTATATAGAGATATTCTTCGAAACTTTCCTTACCATTCTTATTTGAAAATAACTTGAAATAGTTAAGGAGTATAAAAACTCATCAATATTTGTTGTATAATTTTCAATTGAAAACTAAATGCAATAACTTACTACGAAGTTATGATATTATCGATTGTTCTCGTGCTTATGAGATTCAATTCTGTTTTTCCTAGATTTAAAAATAAATGAGTTTAACTTTTCCACAATAAAAAGTACAATTGAAATAAAAGAATATTTTTCTGTCTTGCTATTATTATTAATATTCGTTACTGATTTTATTCCTAGGTCACAGATCGGTTTGGGAGAATACGCCGGAAGGTTTACACAACATGCAACCACTATCCTTGTCAAATACAGTTCAATTAACATTAAGTATTCAACATCCAAGCGAATTAAGACTTTTATTTGAACACAATGCTCTACCTGCAATCGAATATTTGAATATTACTATTGAGAATCCACAGACTACTGTGCCTTGCAAGGTACCAAATACTCAACTTTGCAAAGATTCTCTACGACAAACGGCTAATGGTGGTACTCATCTGAGAGTTTTGGTCTTACGTTATATAACTTTGAATGATGTTATCATATTAATTGGCTCATTAACCATGCCTTTACTTGAAGAATTGATACTTATTGATATGTATGATGATAGTAAGTTATTTCTTTATCTATTATTTTGACATGATCATTTGTAATCATTCAGTCAGTTATATTGGTAGTCTATCCATACTGTAACGATTTTTCAGTCGAATGTGATAGTGTATCTGTTAGTCTGTAGTCACTTGTATTTATAATGATGAAAAGACTATCGAGTATATGCGAATAGTTAAATTTTAAGAAAGGAAAACTTCTTTTGGATCTCATCCATATGTAATTTTAGATCTTAAATTTCGACTTTCATTTTGTTGGTGCACAGTCTTAGTTCAGTCAAATATTTCTCAATGCACCTCTAACTATTGATTAGGCATGCACCGAACCCGAGCTATAGTTCGGGGTTCTGGTTCGATCTCTTCTAAACATGGCCAACTTCTTTTTATGACACTTATAGCACTTCAGTTTTTGGATGATTTTTCTTGTTGTGTGTCGGCCTACTGTTGTCATCCACAAGATCCTTCATTTTGTCCCACCTTCACCCAGTTTTATCGATAACGGAAAATGACTGCACATTACACCGAATCCGAACGTTCGGGTTCGGTGCATGCCTACTGGCGTCTAAAAGTCTTCGTTTGTAAATCATCAAATGAACTTTAGACACGCAGGATGTTCATAAGAAATCTCCAGAAAAACATTGTAGCGATACTATGCGAGATAGAAATATAATATTCCAGGGATGAAATTGTCCCTTTTTTTTAAATAAAAGACAATTTCTCAACGTTTGCGAGGAGAAAAAAAATTTTGTTCTATTTGATGAACCATATTGTTCGAGTTTTCGATGTCTCCAAAGATCGTAAATCTAAAGTATGTCCTTTTACAAATCTAATCTTTATTTACCTGTAATTTGAAAAAAGACTGTAACTTCTCCAGGATGAAATATACTCAGAAAAACACTATGCTACGTCCAATGACCCGATCAAGAATAGGCCGAAAAGAAAAACTTCAGCATGTAATTTGTCTCTGATGGATTTTATCGTGTATTGTGGAAAATGAAGATATAATATATGTGACTATATGATATAATATCTAATGAAATGAGTCAAAATAAATAAAGGAAAGTGTCGTAGGATCGAATTATATGATAATGAATGAAATAATTGATAGGTGTTCATTTTAATTCATTTGGAAATACAAGTGTCTCATGGTCGGAATCTATCCAAGTTGACACTGTTTTCGTAGACTTATCTAAAACCGTATTCTTCTTTGTTGGAAAATCTACTTTTCAACAGGGGGGACATGAATTGATAGTTTGAAAGTTTTTCGCTTAAAAATGTTCTATGAAAATATCTTTTATTTTTACCTTAAATTACTTGCTTTGATAATGTTGTTTATTTATCTGATCAACTGAATTCAAATGTATATGATTTTGAATATTTATTCAGACAACAAGATTCATTTCATTTTTGTAATTGTACATTTCTTTCTCTTGCAGCATTAGATCGTCTTGGTCAATTTCAAGAACTTTTTAATTCTTCAAATTTTCCTGCTTTGAAAACTCTTCATTTCTCATTATGTTTTCCTCAAGAAATCGAACATGCATGGAGAATAAGTTCATTTAGTTGCAATCGTCAATGGCCTTTTGACAATATTAATTGCTACATAGATGAGCGTCATGTACGTGTTTTGGATGCAAGAGGTTATATTGCAAAGATCCTATTTGTTATCTACAATTGTCCAATTCATCTCCTCTATCGCTACAAACGAACTTTTTACAATTATGATTTCACAACACATGTATCTGCTCCCATTCGTACAATTCGACGACGATTGATTCAATGGACATGCGATCAAAAATATGAGAGTGAGCAATTAAATAAATCTCTACGAATAATTGCAAGTGGTCGTGTTAATGAACTTCATTTAACATATTTAAATGAACAAGTAAGTCGTAAAAAATAGATTGAATAAAACTTGCTGATCTCGATTTTGAATTGGAGTGCTTTATAGAATATTTACGAATGAGTATTTTTCTCGAAACTTAACAAAGTAATTTGTCAGGTTTCTTGTCGCGATAACAAATATACACTTATTGATTGAGTATAAGAATATGTGTACAACGTTCGAGACAAATCAGAATAGATTATATTTAATAGGAAATTTATAAAAGAATGAATCTCGTATTTGAATATTGTTAATTCGTAGATTAGATGTTTATTTTATGTGATAGAATAAACAAATTAACAGCATAGAGAAGATTAAAGAATAAAAACAAACTATGAAACTTTTCTTTCTTTTATTTGTCTATTTTCTCAATAATTATAATGTCACATTTAATCTTAATCAAAAATGATGATTTAATTCGAATTTATGAATATACCAAAGGTTTTAATGTAAAATCTAACTAACGTCATAGTGCTAATTAGTTTCCGTTGTTTATGAGAAGTTTAACACGGATTGAATTTAATTTTTGGAGTTGGTAAAGATTTTGCTCTTTTTTAGTATCTAGTATATAAATTAATTCATTTTGAAATTTTTCAACGATATTTTATAGATGTCGATGGTTATAGAAGAAAGTCAATGAGATAAATCTTAATTTGATTTTCTTGGTGAAAATAAGCTACACTCACACGCTACACACAATAGTGTGTGTAGCTTAGGCCCCGAACAGACCGACCAATTCAAAGTGAATTAAAACCAAGGGGGAAAAGCGAGACTTCGTACTTCACATACTTCACCGTACTTCACTGTACTTCACTCGTACTTCACTGTATTTCACCTGTACTTCACTTGTACTTCACCGTACTTCACTCGTACTTCACCGTACTTCACTGTACTTCACTTGTACTTCACTCGTACTTCAGAAGTACGAAGTCTCGCTTTTTCCCCCTTGATTAAAACGGAATTAACGAATAAATCGTCTCAAAAAGACGATTTAAATCGAAATAGACCAATCACGTTAATTAATTTGTTTTATTTTTTTCAGTCTGTTCAGGGCCTTATCCTCACTTGTTTTAACCAATAGAATCACTTTCCATTCTTTATTCTCATATATCCATACATTTTTTGACTTATATTGAAAATATGTATTCAGTGAGACTTTTGTTAAATTACAAAATATATTTTAAAATAAGATGGATGTGAAAATAAGACAAATACTCAAATCAAATGATATGTTATTACCATTTCGTTTAATTATTCATTGCCACTATTGGAGTTTACAAAAATTCAAAAATGAGCCGAGTCAAAGTCTAATTGTACATCATAAATAAAAAAGACTTGAATTAATTTGGTCTATTATATGGGTAAAGTATTTCTAATTGTCAGTCAAGAGAAACTAATATCTTCTCACAAAAAAAATTAAGCGCATTATTTTTAATTTATCATGTTTCAATTTATTTTTCTGGGCTGCCTATTAACTGTTTCAAATTGAATAGATTTGAACGTTGAGAGCTTTTTGCTAAGAAACTTCCTGAAAGATGAATGCATAGAAAATAGACTTGTTCTAATTAAATAGTAACTTTTTCATTACATAAACTTTTATGTGAGTGTTTAATGTTAGAATTATCATTTATTTCACGTCCAAAATTATATCGAAACTAATCAACATTTGGCAAAAAACTTCATGAACATAGTATAAATGTCAAACTTTTTCTTGATATGAAAAAGCTATGTTATCATATTACTTGCATGAATATGTACAAAAGAAAAGCATCTCGAACTCCACATAAAGGCAGATGATTGAAATTCATTTCATGTCTTGCTATCGTCAGAATTCTATAAACTTCTCAAAGTATGTTTGCTAGTAGTTGATAAAACTGAAATGGAGCATAGTTTTGATGCCAAACATTATATGATTTCCTAGCATCTGTAAATGATTTTCATCAAAATAGAATTTTCTTATAAAGATTATCAGTTTTCATTTGTGTGATTTATTCTCAAGTAAGACTCCATATCATTAATCAATTACTATTCTGCAGTCTTTCTCGCTTTGATTCATATGTCTAGGGTTTGTACGAGTAAAAAATAGACTTCTTAGAGCAAAAAGAAAGCATAGACTAAAAGATTCCTAATCTGAAATTCATTTAAAAATATTTCTTTTGGATATTTGACTATATATCTCCGAGATAATTAAATCTCATTTCTCAGTTTATTTCGCTCTTTCTAAGAACATGTTTTTATTGAGTCTTCGGAACATCTTTTATAATTATAAACGAGTTGGTATCAGTGCGACTAATAACTCTTATTCAAGATGGACAAAACGTGCTTGATAAAAGTAACATCTTTAAACCACTCAGATATTTGTTCACAGTTAAGTAGACTAATGTAGGATCAAAAATCTGAACATATGTATAATAGAAAATAAATTCTCATTCTAATTTATTCGTTTTGATTATCTTCAATGGCAACTAGACATTCGAAGCATAAGTAAATGCATGTATAAACCCTACTAGTTTAAAATTTCGAACAGAGATCGATTCA